CACTGTATAGTCTAGATCCTGTTCAACCACAACCGGTCACCACTGGCCATTCTAATTGAGATTGCTGGGGGCTGTAGCATCTTCCACAAACGTTGCATTCCTAGTACAAACAGAGAAAACATTTTTTAGAAATCCTAGAGGAAAAGAAATTACCTTTTTGATGAAGATGTCCTCCCTCAATGAATATTCACTGGTATCTACATCTTCCAAATCAGGAAGTTCCTGAAAAATATCTTGACATTTATTGAAGAAAATGGTTTTTAAAAATAATGTGGTAGGGAGGGGAGGGAAATGTCACACAGCCCATTTTTTCATCTTGGTCACTTCACCCCATCTTTTCCTATCCTGCAGTTAATACTTACATCAAGGAAAAGTTTTTCTGGCACATCCAACATAATGTGTTCAATATCTGCCAAGTTAGTGCATTCAGTACACAGTGGCCCTTCTGTAGAGATCCTATAGACTGTTTCTAAAGAAAGAGACAAAACTCTTTAGTGAATCTGGATTCAATTATTATCAGGGGAGAAGGCATCAGCCACATGCCTTAGCCCTCTCCCCCAAGGTTTAGTTTTCTGGAAACACACACTCAGATCCCGTTGCTGAAATCTGACAGCAAAATGTCACAATTCAGTTGTGCAAACTGAATTCAAAGTTAAATTGCACTTAAACTCTCAAACTCCCCAAAAGCAAAAAAAGGACTGAAGCTCAATATGTACTACTGCTAGTGACATTATTGTTAGTCTTGAAGATTTAAAAACAAATGTAGGATGCCCTAATGGCAAAAAGATCTGTTCTTGAACTTTATGGAGGATCTGCTGAATTACCACATCTTGGCCTCTTATCTGTCCAGGGCATACAATTCTTCTGTTCCACTGATTTGTCAGACCATGGGAACTTGGTGGAACAGTCATTCCTCTGCTTTGGGAACCTGCTTGGCACTCCAAACCAAAGCAATGCAGGAGTTCCAAAGCACTGCAATCGCTCTAGACCAGTGTTGTCCAAACGTTTCCACTTTAAGATGAGTGGACTTCAACTCCCAGAATTCCCCAGCCAGCCATGGGGGGGGGAATTCTGGGAGTTGAAGTCCACTCATCTTAAAGTGGCCAAGTTTGGACAACACTGCTCGAGACACACAAGGATGGACTTGTGGGGCAGTTGCTTCCACTGAAATGCGTGAGAACCCCTGGACTCCTAAGAGCCCTGTGAGCACAGAGGATTGTTGGACTGAATTAGAGATTGCCATCAAAGTGTTCTATGTGACAGTCATACCCAGTGCTTTGATGTACAAGCTTTTCTTTCTTCATTAGATAAAGGATACAGTTAATCATGGAAATAACATAGGTACAGTTGGATTTTGTAATCCTTAATGTTCATTTGTGATCCTTAGTGCAGAGGGCTTGGCTCATTTGGTGACCGTAAGTTAGTGTACCTATTTGCTATTGAGTTAAGTAACTTTTATCCGCACATTATTTTGATATGGGATCTGTCTTGATCTATTTTCTCCCTTCTCAAAAGTAGCTCTCCTGTAAAACTGAGGGCTGGAAAGGATAATATATGTTGCTCTCCTTTTCCTTCAGAGAACTCAGAATAGTTTATATATGGTTAGGTTGGCTGTATTTGTATGATATACTGCTCAGTGGACCCAATTTTCTGGATGCCCACCACAACCGTAAACTACATAGGCTAAAGAGAAGTAATCTAACTTGTGATTCAGTATGACAAACAAACAGGGATCCAGGCTCTGCTCCAGGCAGTTATAAAGGCAGGCCTATTTTTCTTCAGTAGAAGATCCTCCAACCTGTTCCACTTTAAACCCAATCTAGATCTACTTTTACAAATAACAGGAATGCGGAACTGTTCTTTGAGAATATAGAAAGTTTGCAAGAAAAGTTGAGAGTAACAGAAAGGTAGAGCAAAGTCTGATAAAAGTTGCTGGAGTGACAAAGTTTACTCTGGATAAGTAGGCACAGAACAACTGGGAGGATAGTTTCACAATGCTGTCCTCTAGTGGTGCCAAGGCAGGTTATACAGTGTGATCCCTTGTCCTAAGGCAACAGGAGGAATTAATCTACTCCTCAGAGTTTCTTTCTTTTATTCTCCTGAATTGCCTCTCAATAGGAATATTGAAGAAAGCCATCTGTTCCACATTTGTAAGTGAACTGACCTAGTTTGTACTTCCTGATTCACGCTACCTATTGGGCTATTTCAAATTTTATGCTTCCTGGCTTAACTTACAGCATATAAAACTCTGATAATTTAAAATGTTGATATTAATAGATTATGCACAAAATATAAATGATATGAAAATATGTGAATTTCCCTGCTTTTTAAAAAAGATGATGGAATAATGGCCATGAGTGAGTATATGTGACATTGCAACAGACTGGATTTAGATTGGCCGGTACTCCTATTCTTAGGTTTTTCAGGCAGGCGTGGAATTGGGAGTCTGTGTTTGCTGAGGGCAGGTAATGTCGTCCTCCCTTCAAGCAAACTCTGGATAGTCTTTAGCATCACAATTGCTTTCTTATTTGCAGATGCCTTACCTTCTTCAATAGGTGTAAAGCCTGAAGCCACCAGTTTTTGTGCTTCCTGTTGATATGGATTATTCTCTGATCTACCCAACTGATCACCCAAGATTGCGGCTGCAGCTATAGCTTCTTCTTGGGCATCCATAGTCTCTATCACAAATTTCTCAATCTTCTGCTTTGTCTCCAGTGATTCCAAAACACCTAACGTCTCCACTCCATTTTCTGCCACGGTGTCATTGCTTGAAGATGGTATTTTCTCTAGAATGATCCAATAACGGATTAAAAAGAAATATTTGCCTGCAAATGAAATTAATTCTTGCATTTGTTGAACAACACTGCTTAATAAAAAAATAGTAAACAGAAGGATCGTTTAAGGCTTCTTTAAACTAAGCAAAGAGGTGTATTAAATAAGAATTTGCTGCTCCAAATATGCAAACCAAGTCAATTAAAACTAGCAACAAATATATTTAAGTGAGAGTATTTCTATATCTTATGAGTTTTAGTGGTACTATTTTGGGCTAATTTGTAGAAGAGAAAATTGGGGCAGCAACCTGAATGTTATGAAATGTGGCCTAGATGCTTATATTCTAAATCACAAACCTGGTTCGTCAGCTGAGCCGCCACCCCTTTCTTCCATTTCCTCCTGCTTCTTCTTCTCTTTAGCTCTTTTTCGGACTGCGGTGAGAGCATCAATACTATCTTGTATCTTCTTCCTTTCTTTCGATTCCCACATTTCCTTTTCCTTTTTTTCAGCTTCACGCCCCCCTGAAGCCCAGGCTTCTGCGCAGGCTCTGATGGGAAGAAGGAAGGTTTCCATCAGGTTCCTAGAAGTGCGTTTCAGCCATTTCTATAGAAAGCTCCTACGTGGTGCAGAAGAGAGGCTGGGCTGCCACTGGAGTAACCGTCTTGCTTGGGTTGTAATAACCACCCCCAGGCTTCTGGGTGGGCCAACGCCACTGGTGCAGTGAGATCTGATGGTACACTACCTCTATGGAGGCAAAATATGTCTCCAGGTACACCAGAGTGGAGAGACTGCCTGGAGACTGTTTTGTATCAATTAGCCCTATCGGTTTAGCTCCAGGGGTTTGGTGCATTGAATTTTGCACACATTGAGTTTTCTAAAAATTCATTTGTTATCCAAATGCAAAATGTACATGTAGGTAGAACTGGAGTGATTATGAATCTTTTACCAGTTTGGCCAAGAAAAACTCTTCCCCCTTGCTTATTTTACCTCTCCTTTGGAAAAACTGGTCTGTCATCCAAATATGTCAGTTGTTTTAATCGGATAGTAAGTGTCCTCCTATAGTTAGCTATTTTCTTAATTACTTCATTTCCCATTAGGTTCAACACACGCTGCAAAAGAAAATAAGCAGTTTTAGGAAACCCTTTTGAACACATTCTGAGAAACTAACTTTCAGTTACTTATTTTTATGTATTTAATGCATTTCCTAGCCACATTATGCCTGCAGTCTTCACTCTCAATCCCTTATTGTATGGGATCTGTAATTCCCAATATCCATTTTAGGCCATTGTCCAGACTATTCTTCCTGGGGCAAGATTTGATTTCTCATTCTTTGAAAACCATCATTTATAGAGATGTTAAATCCAGCAACCGAAAATAAGACAGTATGTTAGCGTGGGAGATTTATTACATGTGAGCTTGTATTTAAAGCATTTGGGGAGCTAACAAATTACTATTTTAAACCAGCAAATGGATGTCACTGTCTTGAATGCTACTTAGCAAGATGAGCATGCTTGGGAAAGGAGGCTGTTACCTTGCAGAGGAGTGAGGTGGAGGGAAAATACATTGTCTCTGTCTTGAGCATTTTCTCACTTGAAACATTTTGTTGTAAAAACAAACTTCAAGTATAGGAACTTAATACTCTCCCTGACCCTCCTGTTACTACTGCTGTTCAGATATACCTTACCTGGACTTTTTTCCTCCTTAAACGTAATTAGGAATCTTGCTTATGGCCTGCACTAGGTCAGATGGGGGTATAACCTCCCTGAACACAGACAATGCCCATCTTTTAGTGTGAACTGGTAGAGAAGGGAGGGAATTACTGAATGAGATTTGTGTCAGTCTGGATTCCTTGATGATTGGGAATAATTTCCATCTTCCAACACAGTGTTTTTCAAACTTGGCAACTTTAAGATGTGTGGACTTCAACTCCCAAAATTCTGGGAGTTGAAGTCCACACATCTTAAAGTTACCAAGTTTGAAAGACACTGTTCTAACAGAACATTATTCATGTCCTTTTAAGTACCTCCACTGTCAAAAGGAAGTTCATCCTTTCACAGTGGTGTCTGCAGCAAGCCCCAACAACAACATACATGCAAAGATATGATGCCACAAAACCTTATATACTTACAGTACATCATGGTATTTGTGTTATAATGTCCCTTATTGCACCCCCCTCCCAGGGTGCCCTTTCAGCTCAGTTCTATCCTTGTATGCTCTATAAGCAGGGTACACTACTTGGCTAGCAGATGTTGGAGACAAAGAACACCTCTGTGTTGCTGTTAAGGAGCAATGCTTCAGTGTCTCCTGTAGGACTAAATATCAATATAGAAGAAAGGAATGTCACTGGAATAGGATGTGCTCCCTGCCAAGTGCAATTCAGAATGGCGGTCCTCAACTATATCAGAGTGTTCTGTATTCCCTTCTAACTTCAGTCTTGTCTAACCCTCTGAACTGCTGGCAATAGCAGAAGCCCTTCTCCTGTATAATAACAAGCTGGAACAGGCTCATCCAATTGCTGAATGTTGGTGACTCAGATGACATCACTCCAGGGCTATATATTTGCTTACCAAATCAGGCATGGTTTCCAGGATGTCTAAAATATGGGGATCATCTAGCTTATTGTGAGAGAGATCAAGTACACTAATACTTGGGCATTCCTGTAAGTGCTGTACGTCTTCCACCGTTTGTAACATATTGTGAGCAATTTGCAGAGTGTGAAGAACTTTCAGACAAGCTGTTGAAAAATAATAATAGTTAGATAAAAATGCCCCTAGATAAATATCCTTGGTAAATTGTCAGAAATGATAACCGTGGCTGGGCTTTAATTGCTCTTAGTAACATTGCCTTGCAATTCTTATGATACCTAGCAATCCTAAAGATTTTGTGCTTTCCAAATTAATTTACATTAGAGCAAGGATAACAAGCTTATCCTTGTTATCTGCAAGCAAACAACCAAGCTCAGAGAACACCAAGGACTCCACAGTATCTTTTTTTTTTTTAAAGCTCAAAGTAATGATTGTGGGACTTTGGCTCATTTACTTGACTCTAGCAACGTTCACTGTTAATAGGGCTACTGTAATTGGGCTGCAAAAATCTGGATGATCACCAGATGACAGCAAAGAGATACTTTGCACTTTGCACAGCCATAGGATCTTGCGTGAACCTAAGCAATTATGAGTTATTCAATCAATCATAATTAAGCATGATTTTCAAATCTCCCCAAATAGCACCTATTGTCTGCTTCTGATCTATACAAAAAGTGAATAATCTCCAGTTTATGTTGTTCAATCTCAAACCTGAAATTAGTTGTGTGTGTTACTTAAATGAAAAACAAAACCAAAGTTAATAAAACCTGTTGAGTATTGTAAAAACAAAATAAGAATCAGGTTAACTCCTTATTAGCTACGTAGAACAAATTAAGCACTGTTGGCAAATTTATTTGGGAGTAAATACTCATGCAAAAGATAAGCACGCATAAAATGTCCAAATGAAATATAGTCCCCAGTGTCCCAAATATTATACGATTGAAGTTCTATCCTCTTATCTGACGGAGGAAGTAGAAAATAGTGTGGAGATGTTATTTAAAATACCCAAAATAAACCTTAATACCGAGTAGGTCAGATGTTATTCGAATGCCTCTTTAGTGACCTCAAATCTTAACTCCTAACCAAAACCATACAGCCAGTTAATTCATTCAGCACTCTCAGTAAAATGAATATTTGTGAATATTTCATTTGGACATTTTATATAAGCTTATCTTTTGCAAATGTAGTTACTCCCAGATACATTTTTCTACACTGTTAATTAAGTACATGCATAATTTTATTTATTTATTTATTGGATTTCTCTCCCGCCCATCTCCCCTACAATACTGCCTATGCCTAGTGACAATAATGCAAGTAACACAACACCCTGAGCCTTAATCTAGTTAGTCTTTAGCTTAGTTTATTGAGTGAATATAGAAACTGGGGTTAGCAAGACATAGTTTATGGCTTAATATGCTATAGAAAGCCAGCCAATTGTGGTTATTTTCAAAAAGCAAAGTTAAATAAACCATTACTGTGATGTGGGACTCAGCTAATGAGTCTAAGTTTGAGAAAGGGGAATTTAGATTACATGCTGAGAAAACAGAACATTTGTTTCCAACCATTGTTTTCCTTGATATTAAGTGCTTGCCTTTACAAAGGGTATCAGAAACTATTATGGATGTTTTGCTCTGTATTTTAGCACGTAGGCCTCCCTATCTACATATGTCTGACAATCACAATGCAAAATGGTACAATATTCAAATAACAAGTCTTATTTCCCCAGGAGCAGAGATTCTTACAGAGATTTTCAATGGTCTTCACATAATTGTTGCTGAGGTTGAGAGAATCCAGTTTTTGCAAAGGTTCAAGGTTCTCAATTCTATGAATCAAATTGAGTTGCAGATAAAGGCAACGTAGGTCTGTCTGTGCAGTCAGATTCTCAATCTTTGTCAGGCCATTGCATTCCAGCCATAGGCACTTTAAGCCCGTATATTCTTCCAAGTTCTCCAAACGATCAAATCCTAAAGGAAAAAAAAATGCAGAGAAAATGTTAAAAGATGCTCTTTGTGAACAGAATGGATGAATGGCTCACATGTTAGGATGGGTGAGTTGCAATGCAGCCCTCATTTGATCAGAAACCCTTCAGCTTGTCCTGAAAAATTATTACCTCTCAAATGCCACCATGTTAGGCTTAGGAAAAGTCTTCATAACACAGCAGGTATTGGAGGAGATGCAGGGTTACTACAAGGCAATGCTGACAAGGAAATTTCCTTTCTTCCTCTCCCCTTCACTTCCAGGTATGATGTGTTGCTCTGGCTTAAAGATGTGGTTATCATTTTTGAGATCCATATTCCCTGTGGAATGTGTAGCTTTTAAGTACTCTTTAGTTAAAGATCTCACTTGTGTACCACTTTGCTGGCTGGGGACTCAACCTTGGCAACACTACTCTGCAGCAACTGATAGTTAAGGAATGCTGACTGTGACTGAAAGAGTCAGCCTTACCAGGTAGACCAGGCAGGAAACACGACCAGATGCGCTACTTCTACTTTATTGTAAGGCTACATTATCAGAATCTTAGAAGTCTGAAAGTACAAATCTCCTGCCATCTCCTTTACAACCCAAGAAACCAGGGAGGGTCCCTTCTGAGCCTTTCTCCTCCCATTACCCATTATGCAGCTGCAGGCTATTCCCCCTGTTATCTGACTGTTCCCTAGGCAGCATCTCTTCGCCCTACTCCTCAAGGTCTTTCTCACATACCTTTACAGAAAGTAGTATATGGCCTGCTCTTTTCCTCCATCTTTTTTCAACCTGTTGTGGTTATCAGGTTTGAATTATATTCTGCACCATATGGGAAGGCTAGATATACAGTGGTACCTCGGGTTACGAATTTAATCCGTTCCGTGACTCTGGTCGCAACCCGATTTGTTTGCAACCCGAAGCA